CTCTCTCTCTTTCTCTCTCCCTTGCCTTCTCTCTCTCTTTCTCTCTCTCCCTCCCCCTTCTCTCTCTTTCACTCACTCTCCTCTCCTCTTTCTCTCTACTTTGCCCTCTTTCCCTCTTTCCTCTCTCTGTCTCCCCTTTTTCCTCCTCCCTCTCTTTACCTCTGTCTTACATTCTTTCTCTCCTCTGTGTTTGTCTCTCTCTCTTCTCTTTTCTCTCTCTGTCTCCCTCTTTCCTCTTCCCCTCTCTCCCTCGTTCTTTCTCTCCTCCGTGTTTGTCTCTCTCTCTCTTCTCTCCCTCTTGTTTTGTTCAGACCTTTTTTTTTTTCGGAGGCTAAAAATAACACAAACATTTACGACGGCGTCCCAAAAAAAGTGCACGGGATCTCCGAGAGCGCACGTGCGGGTGAGCGTGCACGTGAGGGGGGGCGTGCACGTGAGTGGGGTGAGGGGGCGGGGCTAGGTGGTGGGGGGTGTTTACAGTGAGATCAGAGGATCAGAGGAGGAGGCCTGGAACAAACCCACTCGTAAAAAAGAAAACAGGAATTTGGGAGAAAAAGAAAAAAGAAAAGAGAAAAGAGAAAAGAGAGCAGAAAACAACCAAACAAGACCAAGACCGAGACCGAGACCAGGACCAGACTGAGACCAGACCAGGACCAGAACCAGACCAGGACTAGACTAGGACTAGACCACAGGAAAACAACCAAACAAGACCAAGACTGAGACCAAGACCAGGACCAGACCGGGACCAGACCAGGACCAGACCAGGACCAGACCAGGACCAGACCGAGACTAGACCAAGACTAGACCGAGACTAGACCAAGACCAGACCAAGACCAGACCAGGACCAGACCAGGACCAGACCAGAACCAGACCGGGACTAGACCGAGACTAGACCAAGACCAGACCAAGACCAGACCAGGACTAGACCACAGGAAAACAACCAAACAAGACCAAGACTGAGACCAAGACCAGGACCAGACCGGGACCAGACCGGGACCAGACCAAGACCAGACCAGGACTAGACCAGGACCAGACCAGGACCAGACCAGGACTAGACCAAGACAAGACTAGGACCAGACCAAGACTGGGACCTGACCAGAATCAGACCAGGACTAGACCAAGACAAGACTAGAACCAGAATAAGACTAGACCAGGACCAGATCAGGACCAGAATAAGACTAGACTGGGACTAGATCGTGACCAGACCAGGACTAGACTAGGACCAGACTGGGACCAGACCGAGACCAGATCGGGACCAGACCAGGAACAAACCAGGAACAGTCAAGGACCATATCAGGACTAGACCAGGACCAGACCAGGACCAAAATAAAACCAGACCGAGACCAGGATAAGACTAGACCAGGACCAGACCGGGACCAGACCACGACCAGACTGGGACCAGATTGGCAGAAGAACAGGACCAGAATAAGACTAGACAAGGACCAGACCAGGACCAGCCCGGGACTAGACTGGGACTAGAGTGGGACTAGACCAGGAACAGAATAAGACTAGACTGGGACTAGACAAGGACCAGCCCGGGACTAGACTGGGACTAGACTGAGATGAGACCAGGAACAGAATAAGACTAGACTGGGACTAGACCAGGACCAAAATAAGACCAGACCATGAGTAGACCAGGACCAGATTAGGACTAGACCATGAGACTGAGACTAGACAAGGACTAGACCGGGACTAGACTGGGACTAGACCAGGACCAGATCAGGACTAGACCATGAGACTGAGACTAGACAAGGACTAGACCGGGACCAGACTAGGACTAATCCGGGAATGGACCGAGACCAGACTGGGACCAGACCAGGACCAGACTGGGACCAGACCAAGACTAGATCGGGACCAGAACAGGACTAAACCAGGACTAAACCAGTTATGTTAAGTAACGCTCACAGTGTTATTACTTGTTTTATTAGAAGAGTGAAACATGAGCCCCAGTCTCTCTACAACACCTCTAAACTCAGACCTAAACCTGGACTAGAACAAGTGAAGGATCAAAATCACAAACCAGGACTAGACCAGGACTAAATCAGAACTAAACCAGGTCTAAACCAAGTCTAACCCAGAATGAAACACTGAAACAGGACTGGTGTTAAACTGAAACAGCTCTAAATATGACAACATTTGAAGGAAATCTTTAAATGAGTGAACATGTGCTTCTTTCTTTCTCTCTTTCTCTCTCTTCTTCCTCTCCTCTTAATAATAATAATAATAACACACAACACTTGTAGAGCTTTTGAGGAGCCTCAGAGGAACCGTCTCTGTCTGCTTATGTCAACTTATTGAAAAGAGCTTTGGAGGAGATGGGATTTCACTTCAGGCGCTCTCTCTTTCTCTCTCTCTCCTGTATTTTTGTCTCTCCTGCTCCTGTCTGCTCCTGTCTGCCCCTCCCTGCTCCTGTCTGCTCCTGTCTGCTCCTGTCTGTTCGGCGTGTACCTGAACCTCCACGTTGCCCTTTCCTCCTCCTGCCCACAGACTGAGGAGAACACTGTGAGGGTCAGCGGTGAGATCAGACATGGAGAGATCACACAGCAGGGGGCGCTGACGAGTCTGACACGAGGACAGGACGGGGCGGGAGACACTGAGGAGGTCTGACAGGAGAGAGGTGGTCTAAACCAGGTCTAGAACAGGACTATTCCAGATCTAAACCAGGTCTAGAACAGGACTATTCCAGGTCTAAACCAGGTCTAGAACAGGACTATTCCAGATCTAAACCAGGTCTAGAACAGGACTATTCCAGTCTAAACCAGGTCTAGAACAGACTATTCCAGATCTAAACCAGGTCTAGAACAGGACTATTCCAGATCTAAACCAGGTCTAGAACAGGACTATTCCAGATCTAAACCAGGTCTAGAACAGGACTATTCCAGATCTAATCTAGGGCTAAACTAGATTTGAAATCAAGTGTACCTGACCTGAGCTGCCTACCTAACCTTAAACATATGAATAAGTCACTGTTTCATTTATAATAAATTCATGTATGTTTTGTATGTTCTTTCCTGTGACTTATACTCCAGTGTGACTTATGTATTAAACTATATCAAATTTCACATGTTTGTTATTTTCACACTGAAGCCTCGAGGGGGCGCTCTAGGCTTGTGTGCCAGTATCTGCTACTCCTGTTACTCCTGCATTACAGAAAATATAACATTTAAAGAAAAACTTACAAAAGGGTACACTCACACTAGGACTCTAGAACTGTGCCGTGCTCAAGCACAATTGCGCAGGGTTCCATGACCTGCACTCACACCTGCTGAACCGAACCGGGCCACAGCCGCTGTTTGTTTACATGATGCACAGCAGAGCTACAGCTTTAGTGGAAAAAATAAGTCCAGCGGCAGAAATATTTATTAAATAGTGAGACAGATATGAGTCCTACTGCGATACTCGCTCCTCTGTGACTTTATGAAGACAATAACAGTGCAGACGTGTGGTGACAACCACAGACGAGAGGCAGATACACTTTTGTTGCTGTCCAGAGTCATTATTGAAGGTGTGTTTAAGAGTGAACTTCAGACATCAGCGCACACACAGGCACACACACACAGACAGGTGCACACACACAGACAGGTGCACACACACACACACAGGTGCACACACACAGACAGGTGCACACACACACACAGGTGCACACACACACCAGGCGCACACACACACACAGGTGCACACACACAGGGTCACACACAACAGGGCGCGCACACACACACACACAGGTGCACACACACAGACAGGTGCACACACACAGGTGCACACACACAGACAGGTGCACACACACACACAGGTACACACACACAGACAGGTGCACACACACACAGCACACACACACACAACAGCGACAGGTGCACACACACAGGTCACACACAAGACAGGTGCACACACACAGACAGGTGCACACACACACACACACACACAGGTGCACACACACACAGACAGGTGCACACACACACACTGCCCACACACACACACACACAGGTGCACACACACAGGACACATGCACACACACAGACACACACAGACAGGTGCACACACACAGGTGCACACAGACAGGTGCACACACACAGGTGCACACACACACAGACACAGGTGCACACACACAGGTGCACACAGACAGGTGCACACACACAGGTGCACACACACAGACAGGTGCACACACACACAGGTGCACACACACAGACAGGTGCACACACACAGGTGCACACACACACAGACAGGTGCACACACACACAGACAGGTGCACACACACAGACAGGTGCACACACACAGACAGGTGCACACACTCAGGTGCACACACACAGGTGCACACACACAGGTGCACACACACAGGTGCACATATAAAGTGTAAAGTCGTGGGGGTGCGGGCACATGAGCAGACATGCTGTGCTTTGGTTCACCTCCTAAATTCATCATAAATTTCCCCCAAAAGTGCCACTTCTATTCCAGTGCCACTTATAAATGTTATTTCTTCTTCTTTAGACATTTTTTGGCTGGTGCGTCTTATACTCCGGAGCGACTTATAGTTCAAAAAATATGGTACTACTTTTTAAAAATATCGTGATACACACTTCTGTATCAGTACATGTATTGCCAAGAAGCCCATAAGATGTGGGTTCAACTCCTCAGGCAGCAGACCATAGAAATGTTCCACAGTGCTGCTTTAAATGAAATGGGCAATACATTCAATATAGAAAAGAAAATAAGTGTACATTTTGACACATAAGTGAAGTACACGCTCAGAGTCCTGCTGATACTTTGCAGCTGATGTCATCAACAGTCCCTGTGTGTGACGCTAACTAGTGGCACTGCTCTGTCTGAACCTCTGTTACTCGTTGAAAATCAAACTCCTAAACAGGACCACAAACTCTCGGACTGATCACAGGCTCATGAAAAAGCGCAGTTTGAATCCATTTTGTATTTTTCTAATGTGTGCAGTGTGTCACCATGGTAACTGCTGAACATTCCACCATAGACATCCATGTTTTGGCTGATACCTGGTTCGGTGCAGTTCTTGTGGTTGTCCGTCTCAGCGTAGAGCCGCGACTCGTTCTGATGGTAGTGCTGAAGGAGATGTCTCTGTATCCCTCCTCCTCCTCTTCCTCCTCCTCCTCCTCCTCCTCCTCCTCCTCCTCCTCCTCCTCCCTCCATCGCGTACGACCGTCCTGAAACAGAAAACAAAAATCACATGACTCTTCAGACGGAGTGAACAGCAGCTGAGCCTTTGGTGAAAGCACGTTCAAAGACAGCGGGAGCTCCGGGGCCCCTGCTTTATGTAACGCACAATCAGAGCACACACACACACACATCAGAGCACACACACACACAATCAGAGCACACACACACAATCAGAGCACACACACACACATCAGAGCACACACACACACACACACAGAGCACACACACACACAATCAGAGCACACACACACACATCAGAGCACACACACACACATCAGACACACATCACACAATCAAGCACACACACACACACAATCAGAGCACACACACACACACACATCAGAGCACACACACACACAATCAGAGCACACACACACACAGAGCACACATCACACACAGCACACACACACAATCAGAGCACACACACACAATCAGAGCACACACACACACAATCAGAGCACACACACACACACACACACACAATCAGAGCACACACACACACACACAATCAGAGCACACACACACACAATCAGAGCACACACACACACACAATCAGAGCACACACACACACACAAGCACACACACACACCACACATCAGAGCACACACACACACACAATCAGAGCACACACACACAATCACACACACACAATCAGAGCACACACACACACACACACACACACATCAGAGCACACACACACACATCAGAGCACACACACACACACACACACACATCAGAGCACACACACACAATCAGAGCACACACACACACACACATCAGAGCACACACACACAATCAGACAGAGCACACACACACACACACACACAGACACACACACACACACACATCAGAGCACACACACACACATCAGAGCACACACACACAATCAGAGCACACACACACACACAATCAGAGCACACACACACACACACATCAGAGGCACACACACACACACATCAGAGCACACACACACACACACATCAGAGCACACACACACACATCAGAGCACACACACACACACACAATCAGAGCACACACACACACACACAATCAGAGCACACACACACAATCAGAGCACACACACACACAATCAGAGCACACACACACACAATCAGAGCACACACATCACACAATCAGAGCACACACACACACAATCAGAGCACACACACACACAATCAGAGCACACACACACAATCAGAGCACACACACACACACAATCAGAGCACACACACACAACACACAATCAGAGCACACACACACACAATCAGAGCACACACACACAATCAGAGCACACACACACACACATCAGAGCACACACACACAATCAGAGCACACACACACACACACACACACACACATCAGAGCACACACACACACACATCAGAGCACACACACACACACAGAGCACACACACACACACACACACAGAGCACACACACACACAATCAGAGCACACACACACACACAATCAGAGCACACACACACACAATCAGAGCACACACACACACACACACACACACAGAGCACACACAGGAGAGTGAACACAGGGTTAGATCAGTGTAATGGAGATGTTCTTTTATAGGTCTGATATTACACAAAGTTTACCCATGTGAGCTTTAAATATGGAGTAAGAAAGCTTTCAAAAATATTCGTGTGCATAGAATAGAAATCCGTCCATATTTGGCTGTAGCTGCGCATAAAATAAATATTTGTAAAATCTCAAATGAGTCCAGTCGTACATAAAATAAATAGTGTGTATTTTATCCATCAGAATACGAATAGAAAAGTTACAACGTTAAGAATTACAATTAAAATTAAAACTTAAGGATTTGATAAGCTTCCAGACAGCAAAAATAATGTACAAGGCAGAAAGGAAGGAACTACCAAAAAATATTCAGAAACATTTTAGGGAAAGGGAGACAACTTATCATTTAAGAGGAATTCATCTTTTTCAAATGGCCACAGTCTGAATAACAAGAAAAAGTTTTTGTATTTCAGTTTGTGGCGTCAAAGTCTGGAACTCTATGAGTGATGAGCTCAAAAAATGTCCAAAAATAAAAATGTTTAAACAAAAATATAAAGAAATGATTATAGCGAGGTATGCTCATGAAGGAATTTAAGTTGATTGTTATCTGAATGTAAATTACGCTATATTTATTTTTGTATTTGGAGTAATGTGACGTACTATAAGAGTCTGGCAGAAGCACATTATTGTTTTAGTGTTATTGTAACGGGGGGTGGGGGTAGATAAGCGTTACTTCTCCCCACTCCTTTTACGAATAATAGTTTTTTTTTTTTGGAGATTATAGTTGTGATGAGCAAAGTAAAATAATTGTCTTTATGTATCTGTTGATTACTACACAATATTGCAATTTATCATTTACTGTATGATAATAATAATAATAATAATGTAATTATTATTTATGGAAACATCTGAATAAACTTATCATCATCACAAATAAACCAGAGAGAATAAAATACCAAAACTGAAAACAGAGACTGTTTTTTGATGTTGATTGTGTTATTTGAAATCAACTTTAAATTAAATATTGGAAATAGAGGTCGAAAACAGCTTTTTCTGTTTGACACAAAAATGGCAAAATGAAATAAACTGTTTTCCCATTTTATTGTTTTTCATTCTTAATTGAAATTCAAAGGAACGAATGGTGCACGGACCTTGGTGCCTATTTTAATGGTGATATTTTATTCTCTCTGGTTTATTTACTCTGGAAGTTCTGCTGTTCAGCGCCGTGTGTGAATTCAGCGTCACTGAACAAAGGAGAGTTTATCTGTTTCCTGTTTCTCCTCATGGAGTTCAACAGTGATTTTCTAGATGCAAAAAACAAACGCGTCGCTATAAAAGTCCACGAAACTGCCGGGACAGAACTTCTGGGACAAATAAAACATCAAAATTAAAATAGGCACGAGACTGTTTCTGAACTTTAAATTAAATATTGTAAATAGAGATCGAAATCAGTTTTATGGTTTGACACTAAAACTGAAAAATGAAATAAACTGTTTTTCCATTTTATTGTTTTTCATTCTTAATTGAAATTCAAAAGAACAAATGTTGCACGGACTGTATTCGTCTCCACTTTTTCCCCGTTTCTTCTCGTAATTAGTCAAACCGCGAAAGAGGAAATGAAGGCGTGCGCTGGGAGACATGTTTGGGCTGCAATCATGTGTCAGGATGCAATTATTATTATTATTAAGAGTTTAAAGGTCTCGGCGTTCTCTCTCTCTCTCCTCTCCTTCTCTTTTCTCCTCCTCTCCTCTCTTCCTTCTCTTTCCTCTTCTCCTGTGCGTCGTTGTTCATTGTTCCTCTGTCCTGAAGAGCTCTTGGAGTCGTCTTCTTCTTCTCAAAGTTCACGCCGCGCTGTCATTGGTTAACTCCGCCTGTCACTCACTCGGGGCCTTACTGGAGCTGACCAATCAGAGGAGAGGGGGCGGGGCTCGTGTTTTATTTTGAGCATTCGAGCTGGAATCAAGAAAACGAGTGAATCACAGGATGACATTTGTTTTCACCGAAATAGCAGATTGTCGAGCTTTTCTCTCTCCCTTTGTTTCGCTCTCTCGCTTCTCCTCCCCTCTCTCTCTCTCTCTCTCTTCATCCGCTCTCTCTCCCTTTAGCTCTCCATCTGCTTCATCTTTCACTCTCTCCTTCACCTATCTTCTGTTCTCTTCTCTCCTTCCAATCTCTCTCTCTTTCCTCTTCTTCTCTCCCTCTCCCCTGATCTCTGTCTCTCTCCTTCTCCTCTCCTTTCCTCTCCTCTTTCTCTTACTTTCCTTCTCTCTCTCTCTGTCTGTCTGTCGGTCTCTCTCCACCTTTTCTATCTCTCCCTCCTTCCCTGTCTCTCCCTCTCTCTCCTATTCTTTTCTCCTGTTCCCCCTGTACCCTTATTTCCCTCTCTCTCTCTTTCCTCCTCTCTCTCTCTCTCTCTGCCTCCTCCTTTTCTCCCTCACTCCCTCTCCCCTCGTCTCTCTCTCCCTCCCTCTTTCTCTGCTCCTTTTCTCTCTCCTTCTCTCTTTCCTCCTCTCCCCTTGGCTCCCTCTCTCTCCTCCTTTTCTCTCTCTCCAATGTCTCCCTCTCTCTTTCTCCTCTCCTTTTCCCTCTCTCTCTTCCTTTTCTCCCTCTCTCTTGCTCCACTCGTTTCTCTCTCCCCTCCTTATGTCTCTCTCCTTTTCTCTCTCTTTCCTCTTTCTGTTTCCTCCTCTCTCTCTCTTCCTCCCTCCCTCCTCCATTTCTCTCTCTCTCCCTCTTGCTCCTCTCTTTTTCTCTCCCTCCCTCTCCCTCTTTCCTCCTCTCTCCCTCCCTCTTTCTTTCTTCTTCTCCCTCCTCTCTCTCCTCCTCTCCCTCACACCTCATCTCTCTCTCTCTTTCTCTCTCTCCTCTTTTTTAGTGAAGCAGAATGAATTTCCTCCTCGTCGTTTCCATGGAGACGTGACGTCACAGGCGAGAGGAGGACGGTGCTCTGACATAACACGACTCACTCCAAAACTCACACACAGGTACAACCCCCCCTCCTCCTCCTCCTCCTCTTCCTCCTCTCGTCGGGAGGTTGCGGGTTAGACTCCCCGTGTTGCCGTTGTGGCAGAGTGGTTAGCCTGTCTCGCCCACTCACGTGCACGCCTGTTCACGTGCACGCCTGTTCACGTGCACGGCGTTCACGTGCACGGCGTTCACGTGCACGGCGTTCACGTGCACGGCGTTCACGTGCACTCTAATGAAGACAAAGTGTGTAATTAGGCCTGACATGTGTGACGTTATGAGGCCGCGCGCACCTATAGGACCATCACACACCGCGCCGTATGTAGGACACAGATCCATCACACCGAGGCCCCGATCTAAACCTGGACCCACATCTAAACCTGGACCCACATCTAAACCTGGACCCACAT